CCCTACATTTTGAGAACATGCAGCTTACAATCGAGGAAATAAAATCTTCATCTTGAACATGTAAATTTACATAAATTGTAGATTTAGAAGGAATGTTAACAATAACAACTTCTTAAAAGTTAATAAAATTACAGTAAAAAGGAAGTTCATTTCCCCCTCAAATGTTCGCTCTTCAAAGCCTCTGTGGAACACTGAGAAACAAATAGCAGATAAAAATATATTTATGCAGCTGCTACAGTGAAAGAAAAATTGTTAAGTCCTTTTGACAAAAGGGTAATTGACCACTAACCTGGTAAAATTCTACTTGTTCAAAGTCCAAAATAAAATTTCTGTTTAATCAATTACAACACATGGAGACAAGATGCACTTGGATGCAACCCAGATCTTGAAGTAAAGAAAAACAACTTCCCTCCCCCCACTTCAGAAGCAGACAACCGTGCCCCCATATATACACTTCTGTACTAGTTTGCAATTCATTACCTGAGAATGAGCGTTCAACAGGGGAAAAAAATGCTCCATTTTACTCACTTCAGTTTTAGAAGCCCAAAGTCATTTAAGGGAAAAAAAAAGCACAAACAGTAACTGGACTGAAAATACTGAGTCCATAACCTGACACACTTTCCCATTATGTGATAACGTGCCTTTCCAATTTATATGTAAGCATAGATAGAAATAAAACATACCATAAGTAAATTAAAGGACATTTATTCTTAAATTAAAAAGTTTTTCTGATGTTAATCAGTGAATCAATCTGTTGCCCTTTCCATATACACCACATTTTGCATGTACTTTGAAGAGTGGATATAGGAGAAAATAACATTTCCTCTAATGGAATATTTTTTCTAGTAAGCATTCTTATTCGCAACCTATTTACAGGGCCAATCATTTTTCACAGAAACAAAAGAATGTTCACAAGCATAAAAGGCAATTTAACTTACAGGAGCAGCAGGAAAGTTGGATGAGAGCTCATATGGTTCCTCTGAGGTCCAATGGCCCAATTCCAAAGACCACAGAACCTAAAATAAATTCAGTGGTAAGTATAAAACTCATAATTTCTAAAATGGTAAACTTTTAGAATGTGTAATAAGAATTAACATTGCAGTTCAACATTTGTTTTTTATGTTTCATTTACCAAAACCAAATGATTTCCCAAACCCTCCTCCTCCAAAATCAAGCCATTAGAAAGCTACAAATTTTACAACCGAAACACAGCATTAAAATAGCAAAGTCATATTTCCTTGTGTAACTACACTAACTGTCAAAATCTTGGAAGTAAGGATATTAAAAGAGTCAACTTCTAATGCAGCTCAGAATACTGTTGGCCTTCTCTGGCATAAGGCTGCATTGTTGGTGGTCAACTTGCAGTCCACCAGGACTCCCAGGTCCTTCTTTGCCAAGCTGTTTTCTAGACAGTCAGCCCCCAGCCTGTACTGAGGCATGGGGTTATTCCTCCCTAGAGGCCAGATTTGGCACTTCCCTTTGTTGAATTTCAGGAGGTTCCTCATCTCTCCAGCCTGCTGAGGACCTTCCAAACTGCAGCATAGCCCTTGCACCTATCAGCCACTCCTCCCAATTTTGCATTATCTGCACACCTGCTGAGGCTACACTCTGTCCCATCATCCAGGTCACTGATAAAAACGTTAAATAGTATCAGCCCCCGGGGGTACTCCACTAGCGACCGGAATTACTGAAGTATTGTATATAACCCACATTACATATGTAAGCCAGCCTGCAAAGAAAAGCAGCTCCAATTCTTTCTCTCCTCCATCCTCTTCTGTCAACAGTACATATTCTCGATTACAAAAAGCAGTTCCTAAAAATGTAGGGCCTTGACTGTCTGGAAAATACATGATCATTTGTGTTCATCTGAGCTCTGTAACTCTGGATGGTCATGATCCTTGGAGAGCAGCAATCCTAACACTTAGAGAGATTTTTCTGACTCCCATCAGGGCCATCACAAGACAGGCAACAATAATAACAGGGAGGGAAAAAAAAGTATTTAAATATTCAGTGACATTTTTCCCTCCATAGGGACTACTCATATTTACCAACTGAAAATTGAGGCTGTATTAAGACATTCCCTCTGCCTGTCACAGAAATGGTTCTCTATCATATCAACAGAAGATGAACAAATGAATATGGTAGTTGAACTACTATCTCATTTGTAGGGATCTTAACTCATTTTATCTACTACTTGAAATCGTTATACTTTCAATTACTGAAATATCATATTTTCCTAAGACTTTCTAAAAATACTCCATCCAGGATTTTTCCTGGGTTGATCTTTTAAATTATTCTTGAAAGCAATTTATCATTATAAATTGCAGCTGGTAGACTGCAATATTAAAAAAAACCTTAGGAGGAGTGTTCAGAGATAATGCCTCAGGGAGAAGAAAACATTTTCTTTATGGGAAATGGAAAAAAAAATTAAGTTCCTATAATGGAGCTGTCCTTGAGCCTATAAATTTTCCTAATTTCAAGATAGTTTAAGTTCTAAAACACAGCTATATCCTAATGGAAGAGGAGTTAATTTGCTCCCCATTGGCTTCATCAGTGTCAGCTAAGCCACAAATCTTCCAATATATTTAATAAAAGATTGACAAGTCCTTTGCACACATTGTTCACTGTCACACAGTTCAGCAACTTTCCCCTTGTAGGGATACCTGAGCTCCCCAACATCTTTCTTGAAGCTCTTACCCATTTGGCAAGCCCTAAATATGATTGAAATAAGCATTCTTACCTGCTAGTGAGAGAGCATGATTCATGCACTAAAAGAAACCCCAAAAAATCACCACCCCCCAAAAACTGCACACCAACACCCTGCTGTTTAAACAATAAGTGCACAAGAAGACCCCAAAAATAGGGTATATGTAATTAGAAGGTAAATCCCTGTGTTTTGCATAATTCTTTCTCTGGCAATCACATTTTGCCTAAATAGTTCTCTAGCCATTTCAAATAGATCACGTCTGTCTCTCACTGTTCGCATAGGCATGCACCATTAAACTAAGTCATTACTCACCTTAGAACAAGCTGAACTTCATCAGTACCAGAAATTACTCCCACGCTTGATTTACAAATAACTGAAATATTCTGTAATTTTTTAAAATTCTTTTGGAAGACGATGCCATATGAATCCATATATTATTATATACCCTTTAAATTCTAAAATCTCATAAAATTTGGGAAGCAGTACTACGAAATGTTCCCCTTGGACAAAAATTCCCATAACAAATATTAAGCATGATATATTTATCCTTTACAACTGCATGGCCTACTTAATGAAACAAGATTCTAGACTTAACAGACTGATTAAAATCCAGCACTTTAAATTTCATTTTCCTAAATACAGTTAGGCCATCTTATAATAAACATTGACAAAGAGTTCTTTTGTCCAAATGCTGGTGCTACAAGAAGCAAATCGCAAATTGAATTTGTAAAGTAATCTCATAATTATCAGGAATAAGTTCTCTAGTCTTTGGTCCAAAGTAGCTTATGCTTGATAACTTTCAGAAGAAACAACATCTTCTTACATAGACTGCTACAAAAGTTGGAGCTTTGTGTGACCAAGGAAGTGATGTTCTACTTGTGCGGGGAGGGAACGTGCTCAGTTTTGCAGGCTATTGGAAGTAAATAGCTATTTTTTGCTGTAAATGAAAAGCAGCACGTCTTCAAGCTTATTGTTGAACTTTACTATTGCAAAAATCCAGAGAACAGAGTGTTTACTTTTAGAAAATACACAACAATGTTTGAAAATGCAACAGCTGTACAAAAAGAGAAAATATTTCCGCAGTCATCATAGCATACCAAATCTAAAAGTAAGAGTTAAGGACATTAATAAATCTGATCTTTAAAGAAAAGCCTTTGAAACATACAACGCATTGTTGTATGCAGCTAAGGTAAATATAGTAACTTCTTAAAAACATTTAAGATTTTAACATACAAATTTTAAGGTGGTTATTTATTTATACTTTTTACAGTTAAATACGAATATTGAGATCTGTTAGCTCTACACTTACATCTTTACACAGTTATTGCAAATAAAAGAGAAACTTGCTAATCCAAGTCGTTTCTCTTTTGATTAGGCAGTAAAAATCAACTTCTAAAGAACCAAGAAAATTGTAGCTTTTAAAATAATAAATAATCTTGAGCAGGAACAGATCTGCCATGCCCTATAACATACACCTCATGTCCATATAGTAACCAAAATGATGTTCGTACCAAGAGTAACCGGCAAACAACCCAAGTGGATTAAAATATAAACCCAAAATATTAGTTATGTTTAAGTAATCTCATTTCATTTTACAGGCCAATTTTACAGTAATAACCTCTATCAATCCTTGTAGTATTTACAGAATCTTGTTTAGAAATGAATTTTGTTTATCTGAGCATAAGATGGATTAATGCCTGTCTATCACGGGTTTGGAATTGAGTACAGAGGCATTGTATCTACTTTCCTAGATTAAAAGGAAATTAGATTCAGAGTTCATGAACAAGTCCTGCAGTAAATAATTAGGTCATCACTCACTAAAACATTCAAAGTTTTCATGAACGCGGAAAAGCTTGCTTCTGACTTCAGTAGAGAATTTTTCAAATTGTATTTCCATAGCAACACTAAAAAAGCTTCAAAATCATGTAACACCAAAACAAGGCACAATTTACAATATTCTTGAGCAAACTACTTTTTCTTGTTAAGCCACTACTATCCTTTTATTTAATAGTTCCCTAGAACGTGGAAAGGGAATAAAGAAAAGCAATAATACTTCAGAATACATGAAGCATTTATTCTGAGAAGAGCTATTTAGACGTTTTCAAGCATGTGCAGTTACAAGAGAAGACTTAACTAAAAATGTAATCATAAAGCAGCACAGTACGCATTAAGCACGGGCACTGGACACAGGAATATTGGAAGCTGGGAGAATAAAGCAGATAACATTAAGATATTAAGTACATATTGGCTGCTACTAAAACTGAGTCTTGCTGGTCATGGAAGACATAGGGAGGGAATAAACAGTAAGAGATGAGGAAGATGGGAAGAACATGGGTTGCTGGGTAGACCTGTCTTAAAGAAAGTTTTCCTGTGGCTTTGGACTCCAGACTTATGCTCATCAATATTCTAGTTCATCCTCAAGTATGCGCTATTTTATCTATCTAAATAGCAAGCAACCTGTATGGTATGGAGCTTCAAGAAGCGTTCTGCAGTTTACACAGCCGTAAGGCTAGTAGTAGTGGCAAGTTTTCCTTTGCATGTTAGATTGGCTGTGTTCTAATCTGCACATTACACAGGGAAAAATCAAGTTCCCAGGTGTCTGAAAAACACACCGTTCAGCTGGTCATTATTTCAGGCCTTGAAACGTAAAGGCATTTCTATGAAAATTGAATGCCTAACTGTACATTTGAGATTTCACCAACACCAGTGTTTAAAGAGAACACTAAGTCTTTTTCAAAAAACAAAAAAGATACTGCAGCCTAAATTCCCTCCCCACATTAAGAGTAAAAAGGCAATGGCAAATAATGAACATTTCAGCTTCTTAAAAGCATTCAGAAAGATCTTCCACAAGACAATTATCACCACACAAAATTCATGTGCTTTGTTTAAAAAATACTGTTAATATCAAACAGACCATTTGATTATTCAAAGTATCCAATTTGAAGCATTTTACCAGTTACAGCACTTATGATAGGATTAACTACAGCACAGAAAGGTATTTAAAGCATTCACTATTTTAGCTTTAATAGAAGGGCAAGATTATTTTGCTTAAATGAAATTCTTATGAGTCTCTTTCTCATGATTATAAGTAAGGCTTCCTGTCTGATTAAAGTATTCAATCCCTTAACATGAGTAAAAGATGGCAAAATTATGCCAATAACAATTAGAAATAAGACAAGAATGCTCTTATGTGATAAAACGCATGCAATCAGATTAGGAAACTGTTTTTTTTAAAAAAGTTTGAAGTGACATTTTCTAAAAAGCCTCAGTGAAATATTAACTGTAATTACTAGTGGGATTAGACATTTGCAGTGAAGTTCTACCCAGCTGCAGTGAAAGATTCAAGCATAGCTCTATGAAAATGAAAAATAGCAGTATTCACAGATAACTGAATAGTTATGAATAGATGAAAAAAAGCTTTTCATTTAAAGAACTAAATTCTTAAGTTTTTCTCTAGATCCTTCTCATGCAGCTCTCCTAGAAACTTCAGAACTTTGTCTAGATATCAGCTCAGTAAAAATGAGGGAAGATAATTTCAGGACTTGATGCAATAATACTTACAGGAATAAATTAATCTTTGGAACAGTTCCAGTTAAATTTCTTGGTATTACATGAAAGATTAAGTTGACCCTGTGATGAGTTCAATGGTATCCCATAGGACTTAATCCAAAGCAGAAGAGAATTTGGTGTCACTATCAGTTAATGTTGGTCTAGCAACGAGCACAGTGATGTTCTCGCCATAGATTGGTCCATAAAAATGAGAAGTCATGGCAGTGCGTAAAATAAGCAGTGAAATCCCAGAACACCAATTGCCAGAATACCGATTATCCAAATACTGCCCTATGTACAAAGATAAGAAAACCCCAAAGGATGCCATAACAGCTTCTTCAGATAACTTTACGTATATCCTGTAGGGCTTACTCTTTCACACTGGTTCAGAGGCAGACATTTCATAAACAAAAAGGCAACAATATTTATTTTGTTTTTAGCCTACTAACTAAATTTTTAAGTATTTATGAGAAAAATGAAAGAAATAAGCTATTCTACAACCCTTTTCTGTATAAGATGGAATTTTTATGAACATAGCTGTTCAACAGCTATGTTTTACAACTTTGGGAACACGAAGAAAGCAGAGAAACTGCGGTCTGTAAGGTCAGAGTGAATGGCTGGCAATTGACCTCTATAATCACAGTGAGTAATTCACTACTATCTTGTCTTTACAGTAGCGGTCTGGTTACTCTATGTGGTAGTCTATAATAAATTCTGAGGATCTATACTGATCATTTGATCCAGATATTTGGGGGAAAAAAAAGTTTTACCGTTGCTCAGCAAAATATCCAATAATTCCCCTAAATTTTTACCAATCTTAAACAAAACTATGTTTCAGAACAGAAGTATATTAAATAAATATTTAAAAAAGTCAACCTGATACAGATTCTGAATAGGAATAATATAACTTGGCTAATGTTGAGCAGAAATGGTTTGTCTAGGCATTAATCTGTCCAGAAATAATGCATGACATGATGTGACATGATATTTTACCATCTACAACAGATATTGAGACTTTAGGCATTTCCACATTGCACACTGAAGTACAATATAAGAATACTTTGGTTAGATTAAGTAGTAAAAGCGAGTCAGTCAGGGTAACACAGAACTTTACAGAGACAAGTTTCCTCTAGCTGAGCTAACTATTTAGGTAAGCCCAAGTATCTGAAGACTGCACCACTGTGTATACCACGGACACATATATGGTTACATAGCTGATATTTCAGCTATACAAAATAAACTTACTTTATTTTGCAGTAAAACTGAAATACATTTCTTACCCATTCATAAGAAACAATCCAACATCCACGAGCAATTCCCAGCATAACATTCAGGGTGCGACGAGGACTCCCTGCAACTACATGACTTGTTGTTTCGCATACATCATCAGAGAACAAAAAGTCTCCAAGTTTATTCACTACCTGAATTATGGTATTTTGTTTTCTAAAAAGAAAAGGGAAAAGCATACAATATAGAATGGATATACGTGATTAGAAAAGTGTATACACACACAACCCTGAGATTAACTCAACTTTTTTTACATTGTTTCCTTCCACCTCTCTTCCCTCCTCGCTTAACCCTTATGTTTTTTCCCTCCTCAGCCTTTACCCATTTCTGGGCCCTAAATTCATTAGTCTTCCCCCAAAACCTGAACAAAATCTTTCTGTCATCACCCAGTTGCATCTGCTTGCATATCAAAACTCTTCTGTTCCCTGCATCTATCTTATCTGCTTAAATAGAAGCTTTTTGAATTAGGAATTATCTATTGTACTGTTTGTGTACAATGGATAGTACAACAGAGCCTCATTCACAGTTGCTTCTAGAGTACTATCATCAAAAGTAATGCTATGAAACATAACCATTTAGGTAAAGCTCTCTGAGGGTATCCTTACAAAGTACCAGATTTTCAGTATCTGCATAAAATGCTGTTTATCTAAATTTAAAGAGAAGTCTTAAAGTTTTGGCATATTACCTATACACCTGAGCCAGTATTTCAGTGAAATTCACTTATCCTAAAACAAAAAACAAAAGAAAACAACACCCACCATATAAATTGCCATATAAAATACAGACCTGTATTTTGTGACGTGGTGACCTGTAACTACAATTCTCAGGTGAGTTCTCCACATATCTATACTGAAGCATACAAATATATCATCACAGAAACAGTGAGATCTTGGTATCCCTAGAGAATAGCTGCTACATGAGAACAATTTACTGGTGAAGATCTGTGAATGAAAGGCTGATTCCCTTGGGTTCTCTCTTCCCCACCTGACTTCTTGGAAATGTCTATGGCATTCTACACAACCAGTAATTAAGCACAACCCTGAATAAAGTCACATCTAACACAATGGTGATCCTCTCACGTAAAACACTAAATTAAATCACTGATGTTATATGAGCACACTCTGAACATCTCCTGAAGCCATTAGGGTAATTTCATTCTTGCTCTGTTTTTCTCCACTGAAAGTAACTCAGTTAAAAACGCTCCAAAGATACACCAGCTAAAGCAAACACTACTTGGAGGAACTCTGAAAGAAACGTGAAATGGATTCTTCACAGGGAATCCAATAATTTTTTTTAAGAAGTTTCAAATAAAAAATGAACAGTAAAAAGAAACAGCCAAGCAAATTAACTTTACACTTAAGTCAAAAGGTGATACTGTATGTGGAGACGCTTAATAAGCAAACCACTAAATTAACTGCCTAACTTCAGACACTAGTTAGTGTAAATTCTGGCCTTGGCTGTATGGCACTGAACATTACTGGAATATATATTATTCCCTTTTCACTTGGTGTGTTTTAACTTGACAGAGCCTACAAGTGAAGTTTTTTTTGCAACAGTGAAACTCACAGAGAAGCTGACTCTGCCTGGACTATATGCTCAGGTGACATATTTATCACGCACTGCCCAAACCTTTTCTTAGCTCCTTTTTGTCTATCCAAAATTCCTCAGAATAAAAAAAGGTCCTCTCGTACAACTAAGAGGTAAATGTAACACACCTTACAAATGACAATGAAAACTCACCAGTTCACAGTTGAGTCAGTTGCAAAAACTGCTGCACATAAATTCACAGCAAAATTTCACCAAACTTATGATTCAGTAAAACAGGTAGTTATTGTAGTGAATCAGTGAGCAGCAATTAATATAATCTCAAAGCACTATGCCATGAAACCACTGAACTCATGCATCTTGCAACTTAAATTCTAATGAGCCACTTGTGTAATTGTAGCTACTTGGTAGTAGCTTTTGGCTACTTTTGGCCAATTTCAACATAGCTGGCTTTTGTCTGTTGGCTTGTACTTCACAGCCAGGTTTTCAGTTCTTTAATTCTTTCAGAGCACTTCCTTTCCCTTCACCCACTTACAGGTTGATGAATGCCTAAAACTCCGGACAGCCAAAAGCACAATATTGATTAAAAAGTTCTGAAGAACAGCAATTGTTATTGCCAGACTTCTGAGTTATTTAATAAAACAGTAACTGTTTACTAAGAAAAGTCAACATACAATATCAAACATTCTTTCAAGAAAATTTTTTCCGCAGCTCTGCCAGGATTTGTTCTCTTTTACGCAGATCACTGCCTCTGTTTTCCACTACTCTCATCTACACTGCAGTTATTATCTTTAGCGCCCTTACAGTGATCCTGTATTGCATGATTTGTGAAATGCACTTACAGTCTCAGTGTCAGTAGTACCCAGTTCCATTACACATTATTACTAGTTTTCTTTCTGATCTATATTATAGCATACTTGACAACAGCTTCCGACAACCATTCACAAAGAATTTCTAAACAGATGGTCACAGTGCTCCTTCTTAGTGCTTATATCTATGCAACTGTCATAATTTAATTATTAATCTTTAAACCTGAAATAATTTGTACAAATATCTTGAGTTTTGAAAAAGAATGCAGAAACTGTAACCAAGCATAGTATGAAATATGGAATTATGTTTTTGTTGGATGTTCTTTATTTTCTAAGAGTTTTAAGAGAATGATAAGAACAAGCCAGAAAAATATTAACTCTTCTCCAAATATGCAGTGGCAGCTGCTTCTAATGTTTTGCAACTAGAGTAAATAAAAAGCCTAAAATTGATATTTCTTCAGCAACTATTTACGTGAAAGAAAACATTTTAAACTGATGTTTCAGATCATAATGACATTTTTTATAAAAACACTTAAAAAGTATGCGGAAAAAGCTAAGTCTTGGGCTGAAAGTCTGAACTGCTTATTGCATAAAACTCAATTTTATATGCTTCCGCTACAAAAAAATCAAACCTTGCTTAAAATTTTTCTTTTTGATTTTATTACCTTGAAGTCCTGTTGAGCTCACCTACGGAAAACTACTTCTGTCTACACCATAAGAACACACTCACATACACACACGAGTCTTTATACAGTGCACGTAGCAACAAAATATACATGTGCGTTTTCAGCTAGAAGACAGAATGAAGTAAGTATTTCAACGCATAGCCCACAGAAAAATGCTGTTTTGTGCAGGCATGAAAAGACTAACAACATTAAAGGTTAAATTGTATGCTAACTAAAGAGTCAAAATGTTTAGTACTTACTCAGAAGACATACTCGTCATAACTAGTGTCCTTGTTGGCTAGAGATGTGAAAAAGAAGAGACAAGAAAATATCAAAAATCTGTAAAGTCTTCCCTCTTAAAAAAACCCTTAAATTATAAAGCGTTTCATTAAAAGGATTGAACTATTTCATAGTTACATTGTCAACTGAGGTAGAGGCTGTACTAATTAACACATACTCTGAACATGCTAAGCCCCAAGGATAAGGAAGGAAGGAAGCCCCTCCATCACATCTGGTATCAAATCATCCAATAGCAGAAAACAAGAACGGAAGTTTTCACCAGTGAGTTCAAAACAAAGCAAAGGCTTCCCAGCCAGGGATGCCACAGAAAAAAGTTTATTTTTTGACTTCTCAGATAAAAAGGAAAAAGTAGCCTAACTGCAACAAAAAATACCCTTAAGTAAAAGTGATTCCAGTTTATTCCAAAAGAAAGGCAGAAACGGTCTGAGACATTGCAGAAACAAAGGAATATATTTATTCAAGTATAAGTTGAATATTTTTAATTTTATTCTTGTGCTGTAGTTTTTTTTTTTTTTGTGTGTGTGTGGAAACTTCAGTGATGTCAATGTAGGTTTTTAATCAAATATTGTTTCATTCCTAAATCTCCTCTAGTGAAAGAAAGCTGACTGAGAAATATAATACACAAGGTACACTCAAAGAGTACAACAATTCTCAAATCAGCATTTTGGAGATACCTTAAAAAGTATCCACCCTCCTCAACAGATCCCCCAGCCTACAGGCAAAGCAAGAGTTTTTGTCCCATACATGTTCTATATATGCATTTTGAGAGTTAACATCATAGAAGTCAGAAGAGAAAGAGGTGTACTCTGGTGATCAGTGATGAGCGCGAAAGCCTCTAGCATGCGCCAAGTTAGGACAGAACATGAATTTCAGCCGTATCAGAGACATGCATATCTAAACATAACCCAATCATCCAAAAGGTTCATACAAGAAGAATTTGTGAAAAGCTTGGCTAAGAATTGCTGATAACTACATATACATGCACAGGTATTCCTACACAAATATTTTAAGTTTGCAGAAAGAGTAGATCAATTAACTTTTAGGAAGTACTGTTTCAATTTTTTATAGTACAATTTTTAAAATCAATATATGAATTTCAAGTTGTTTCCCTGGACATCTACAGCTTTATAAGAAACAAATCTTTCTCGTTTCTCTCCCCTGCCCCACATATTACCACAACCGCAAGTGGTAAGCTCCCAGGATCTCTCCCAAAATTCAATTTCCTTTGAGTCATGTATTGGGCAGAGCGCACAAAAATATTTCAAATCAACTTACAGCTAGCAGCACAGGCCAAAGACTCAAAAGGCAACAAATTTTGCTCAGCAATGAATCATAGAACTGAAGATGGAACCTACTCTAATGTAACCCTATCCCTCCTCTCTTCTAAGTACAGAACTGTTCTCCATTAAGCATTCAAGCAATTTGTCACATTTAAGAACAGAGTTCCTTGGAATTAGCTCTGCAGACTAATAGCCTTTGGTTTGCACCGTGATTATATAGGTGCTCATCATACGAACAATCTTTGCATAAATGAAACTATGTAGATAGTCTTGATAAGTCAGATATTAAAAACTGATGCTGTATACATGCCAGTATTTTTTCCTTCGCAGCAATGCTTTGTTCTAAAGTTGCTTTAATCAAAAGCATTACACAGTGACAGTAAAACTCGGGGGGCGGAGGGAGTCTTTGCATTAGCATAGGCAAACTAATTTTATCTTGAGGTTGGGTGAATTCGAAGAACATAAAAACAAAAACTATTTATGTCTTGAAATAAAATAATCACAGAACGGGTGAGGTTGGAAGGGACCTCTGGAGATCATCTAGTCCGACCTCCTTGCTCAAGCAGGGTCCTCTAGACCACATTTTCCAGGACGTATCCAGACGGGTTTTGAAAACCTCCAGGGAAGGAGACTCCACTACCTCTCCGGGCAACCTGTGCCAGTGCTCTGTCACCCTCACAGGAAAGCAGCTTTTCCTCATGTTCAAATTGAACTTCCCGTGTTTCAGTTTCTGCCCGTTGCCTCTCATCCTATCGCTGGGCACCACGGAGAAGTGTCTGCCCTCACCCTCTTGACACCCTCCCTTCCCATACTTGTACACATTGATCAGATCCCCTCTCATGCCTTCTCTTCTCCAGGCTGCACAGGCCCAGCTCTCTCAGCCTTTCTTCACAGGAGAGACACTCCAGGCCCCTCATCGTCTTTGTAGCCCTCCGCTGGACTCTCTCCAGGAGTGCCATGTCTCTCTTGTCCTGGGGAGCCCACAACTGGACACAGCACTCCAGATATGGCCTCGCCAGGGATGAGCAGAGGGGCAGGATCCCCTCCCTCCACCTGCTGGCAACACTCTGCCTAATGCACCCCAGGAGACCATTGGCTCTCCCGACCACAAAGGCCACAAGGGCACATTGCTGGCTCATGGTCAACTTGATGTCCACCAGCACTCCCACGTCCTTCTCTGCACAGCTGCTCTCCAGCAGGTCAACCCCCAGCCTGTACTGGTGCCTGG